TGAAATATGGCATAGTCTCAGGGTGACCATGCAGTCTTCTAATGACTGTATCCTGCTATCTAGATGACTATACCCAGGAAAACATCTGGAAGCTAAAGATTTCCATATGTATTGGATTCGATTAGTTCACTACATCTATAAATTAAAATAAACATAGGTTCAAAGTGGGATTCTGAAGTAACTATAAGACATCCTTTTTCTCCAAATCAATTAAAAAGTCATTATCAAGTATCCTATCTTAGAATGATAATTTATATCTTTTGGCTTTGTTGTATCCTGTTAGAAGTTAAAGCATGGCATTTCCCCCTCCTCTTGATTTTTTTCCCCCATCTAATAAACTTTGATTTTTTTTCTCTCTCTCTGTATTCTTAATGCAGCTGAGTTTCACATGACTCTCATTTAACAGCTTCACTTCATAAAGCCTGTTATCAGGCTAGGTCATCTCTGTACATAGCTTCAGTGATTGATATCAGCCCAGTTCTGGGAAAATTGTTTTAATTACCACTGGCTCTGAAATGCCCAAAGGAACACCAATATTTGGTACTTGGTTATTACACAGACCCAGTCATCTGAATAAATAAACTTTTAGATTTTCTAAGAAAGACTTAGGTGGATATATCAATTCAACTGAAAGAAACTGAAGGCAATGAAATAATCGACTGATTTGGGGAGTGTTCTCAGTGGCTGCTTGGGACTATCCTCGCAGCTATTAGGGACAACAGCACAGAGCACACAGTAGGTGCTCAGTGAATCGTGACAGGCTAAAGAGTGGTGTCCATGGAGACAGGTTTGTTTCTCTGGAGGTGCTCTCCACAGCCCTGGTGTAGGAGGAAATCCTTGGATACTCACACTCTAGATCCCATCCCCAGTTCTGTTATTTATCTACCACTATGACCTTAGTTTGTTTATCTAAAAACCAGGAATCCATGCTTGTTTCATGGGATTATTGAGAGGACCAAATGAAAACATATGTGAACATGTTTTACAAACTACTAGGTACTACCAGGGATTACAAATACAGTGAGGCAGCAACTCAGCCCTTGGAGTGTCCAGAAAACATTGTCCCTGATCTACATACAAGCTTCAGGGAGTCCAGGGACCCCTAGAATACAGTACCCCATTAGAAGTCTCTAGGGGCTGATGCCTCAGACACTCAACTCCTGAAGAAGGCCAAACATCCAGAGTTTCCCTAAGTTAGCAGCTGGAGGATTCTTAAGCAAAAGACAGGTTCTGTTTCAAAACTTGGGACCTCTTTACAGCTTCTCTGGATGGCAGGGCTGGGCCCAGGGATGCCCCTAACCTGGAAGGGTTGAACTCCACATTTCCATCTCATTTTCAACTTAGAAGAAATTGTGATGATCAACACAGCATATTTCCAGAGCCATTTAATGTCCCCATTTCCTTTGAAATCTCAGCATTCATGCACACACACCCCTAACTAAAACAGATACATTTTTCTTACCTCCTGTACTGGTCAGGATGAGCTAAATTTGTAGAACCAAACAATCCCTGAATCGCGGTGGAGTAACACACCAGTATAGCACTTACTTCTCATTCACCACACCTGGCCAGCACAGGTTTAGTAGGAGTGCTCTGCTCCTCCTGGTCTCTCACAGACCCAGGTACCATAAGTGCCATCTCAATCAACACTTTCATCATAACAGAGGCAGGGCAAAGGGAACATGGCAAACCATATGCTGGCTTGTAAAGTTTCTATCCTGAAGAGGCACCTGCCACTTCCACTCTTATTGCATTGGCTAAAGCAAGTGGTTGTTCCTAACTTTTTTCTTTTTTTTGAGACACGGTATTGCTCTATCACCCAGGCTGGAGTGCAGTGCCCTCATTGTAACTCACTGCAGCTTCTGTTTTTCCCAACTTTAAAGGGAGCAGGAGAGTATAACCCTAATCTGTGTCTGAAAAGAGAATAGAAGTATTTGTTCTTCTTCTTCTTATTATTATTAGAGACAGAATCTCACTATATCACCCAGGCCGGTTTCAAACTCCAGGCCTCAAGCAATGCTGCCAGGTAGCTGAGTCTACAGTCCACATGAGCAGACCTCAGTCTGGTTAAATAATGGGAGGAAACTGGAATACTTGGAGAAAACTCATGCAGACATGAGGAAAAGGTACAAACTACACAAGACACTGGCCCTGGCCATGAAGTGATTTTTTTTTCTTATCAAAGTTATAACAAAGGATATTGAATGAAAGAATGTTATTCAAGGATATGCTGTACTATAAGTGAAAAATACCAGATTTTGAAGACTTAGTATAAAAAAAAGAATGTAAAATAGCTAATAATTTTTATATTGATTACACGTTGAAAAAATATTTTGGCTATATTGGGTTAAATATATTATTAAAATTAATTTCACTTGTCTCTTTTTACTTTTGTAATGTGGCTACTTGAAAATTTAACACTGTCCATATGGCTAGCTTTATATTTACATCTGACATCACTGTTCTAATGCATAAGATTTTAAATGCAAATGCTTGTTCAGAATAGCACAGCTGTTTTAAGAACTTATTTGAAACTTTCACCATGTCTGTCTTACTTAGGGTGATGTGTGGGACCACCTTTGAGAAAAGAACCAGATTTCCTCAGAATTGTCCCTCTCGTTTGTCACAGCTGCGGTCAACTCCATTTAGATATGGGACACAGCTGCAGCTGCAGAGCTAAGAACCTTCTTAAACCACACTGTGTCCTCCTGAGCCTCCTAAACTCTGTGCCAGACAGCATCAGTGACAGTGAAGGACCTCTCTGGTAGAAGCTGCCTTTCTGGGTACGTGCAGAGCCAGCAAGCCTCAAGTCACTTGGAACTAGGTTGAATGTCGTCAGTCTCTGATGGCGGGAGATCGTTTTCAGATCATCACTCAAAATATTTTCTTAGTCAATAACATGGTCACTGAGAAGAAACCACAGTATTATTTTACCTGCCCCTAAGAGTTTCCTTGGATCCTTACCTATCTATGTGTTGTACAAGGTCAGGTTTAAAAAACTACCTCAGGGCCGGTGTGGTGGCTACGCCTATATTCCTAGCACTCTAGGAGGCCAAGGAGGGAGGATTGCTCAAGGTCAGGAGTTCAAAAACCAACCTGAGCAAGAGTGTGACCCTGTCTCTACTAAAAATAGAAATTAGCTGGACAACTAAAAATATATATATATATAAAATTAGCCGGGCATGGTGGCGCATGCCTGTAGTCCCAGCTACTAGGGAGGCTGAGGCAGAAGGATTGCTTAAGCCCAAGACTTTGAGGTTGCTGTGAGCTAGGCTGACGCCACTGCACTCTAGTCCGGGCAACTGAGCCAGACTCTGTCTCAAAAAAAAAAAAAAAAAAGTACCCCAGACCTAAGCTTTGTGATAGTCCATAATCTCAGCTGGATCCTTAGAATACAATTCTGGGGAAAGACTATGCCTCCTTTTCCCTGTCCACTCCCAGGGTCAGATGGGTTTTCCTGCTCAGCCTAGCTGGTGATTTCTTTCTTCTTCTTTTTTTTTTATGTTTTTTTTTTCTTTCTTGAGACAGAGTCTTGCTTTGTTGCCCAGGCTAGAGTGAGTGCTGTGGCGTTAGCCTAGTTCACAGCAACCTCAAATTCCTGGGCTCAAGCAATCCTTCTGCCTCAGCCTCCTGAGTAGCTGGGACTACAGGCATGCGCCACCATGCCTGGCTAATTTTTTCTATATATATTAGTTGGCCAATTAATTTCTTTCTATTTATAGTAGAGACGGGGTCTCGCTCTTGCTCAGGCTGGTTTTGAACTCCTGACCTCGAGCAATCCACCTGCTTCGGCCTCCCAGAGTGCTAGGATTACAGGCGTGAGCCACCGTGCCCAGCCTGTGATTTTTTATTTATAGATCAATGAGCATGCAAAACAGGAAGTCTAGCTACTTCCTCTGGCTGCATCCCTGAAATCCTATATTGTCTTGGTAATGACAATGAAAAAATCCCTTCTTCATCTCTTAACTATATGATCTTACTCTGACTCAGCAATCTTTTATTATCTGTTAAATTTGAAAGTAGAAATAAATTATCTATCAGGTTTAAAAAAGTACCCCAGACCCAAGTTGGACAAATCCCATGTAAAGATTTTCAGCTGGGTAAGACCCTTGATAAGAGGCCTGAAAAACTGTTGCTGGGATCAAAACCTACTTCTGAGCCTCAATTAGCACCTTTTTTGTGGCTGAAAGGTTTCACTCTCTATAGTGTTTGTTAACAAGTTAAGAACAAAGACTCTCTGACAGGAATGTACCTCCTTGAAGATCTGTCCTCTTGTATGACAGAGCCTGGCACTTAGTAGGTGCTCAATCATATATGTTGACTCAATATCATGCACTTTTTGTGTCTCAGCAATCTTCCACATTGCTTGCTGAGTTGACTTAAATAATGCCTCGCAAATCCAGGTTATTTCAATAAAAACTAAGCCTGGCCATTAAGGCACAGGATCCTTACTCTTCTACACCACTTTCCACGAACTTCCAGTTGCCTTCCTTCAAAACAATGTCGTTTCCTAAGAACCCCACACAAACACTACCCCTTCCATGAAAACGTGCGCAGGTTTGCCAGGTAGGTGATTGCTTCTGCAGTTGCTGGGTCTGTGTTGTAGCGCCTACTGCATGGGATCGGTATAAATCTGTTTATATTTGTCTCATCTGCTAGGCTCTCAGCTGTAGAAGTCAGCTTTTAAACTCTTTACCAAAACCAAGCAGTTATTCACCTAAGGGCAGTTACAATGAAAATGTCGGTTTCTGCACATGGTTAGGGGCCCAGGATGATTTACACTGTATTTGTAGGGTACATTAAGTTTTTTCACATATTAAATATCTTTGAATTCTCCAATAAGTTCACAACTACTCTCTGTATAAGATTAAGATCTTCAATTTACTAAGGAAACTCTTAGGAAGTAAAGTCTTATTTTCCAAGGTCACATAGGGAAGAAACTGACCATGAAAGTGAACGTCAGATGTGAACGGCTTTGGGCGCGCCGGAGGCCTTTTGAACTCCTTGGGCTACCGTCGCCGGGCCTTCTGCGCGCACCCTTATTCTGCGCCTGCGCACTGCTAGAGTGCAGTTCGTTTCTCCATCGGCCAGGAAGGACGTGTTGAGGTGAGTGTGGGTCGCTTTTGAGTCCTTTCTTTGCCGTCTCGGAAGTGCCGCTTCCTGCTTTCTGTCTGCCTCCGAGTTGAGTAGGACTCCGCATCTCAGCCATGGTGGAGCCTCAGGCCTTTTGCCCTCGTCTACCTCCGCACGCCCCCGCTGCGGCCTTAGGAGGGCGGCGGGCGGGCGGCGGGGGCCGAGTGGGCTGCGGCAGCACTACGGAAGCGGGTTGGATGCGGGGGCCTGAAGGAGCCAGCGGGCTTCGGAGCGGCCCGCTGGGGCCCGGTACCCGCTGTGTTTTTTTGGTTGGCCCGTGTGACCTTGGTGAGGTCATTTGATTAGTCCAGGCCCAGTATTTCACCCCTAAAAAGGGGTGGCGGTTTTCTCCTCAGCTGCTCGTGAGGCGTAAGGGTCAGCGTAGGTGAAGCAGCCAGCAGCAGCGTCGCTCGCTGTGTGGCAGCGTTTGAGATTAGAGTTTGGAAGCTGGAGGAGGGTCACCATGTTTGTCGCAGGAGGGAAGGGGTGGACTTCCTGGAGCCTTCCTTCCTCCACGCGCCCACGGTCCTAACCTAGCCCCGTGAGCCACGACGACCTGAGGTCTGCAGGGACAGCCCCGCGCGCTGGTCTCCAAACCCCCAGATGAGGCCAGGCAGAGTAGAAATTGCGGAGCTTGGGCCTTGCAGGCAACTGCTGGGATCCCGTCCACGTTTTAATCGTATGCCGTGTGACACCCAAAACATGTACCTTACTGTCTTGACAGGATTGTCGCGAAGATAATGAGTCGGTAGTAGATTTTTTGCACTTGTTGTTACCAATGTAGAGTTAGTGCTTACCTTTCCTGTAGTTGGGAGAGATTTTTGTTTTCACTTTTTGCTCACCGGTTGCTGGGATTGGAGAAATCATTCATTATTGGGGGTAGGGAGAGATGAAGCAGGCTATGCCACTAAGCACTTTAGGCTTTGTGGCAGTTCATCCACTTTTCCTGTGCCTTTCTAGGTACTAAAATGCATTATGCGTAAGAGTTCCTTAGATCTTATTCTTTTTTAGGGGTTTTTAAAAAATTATTTTACTTGAGAAAAGAAAACTAACAGTCTGAGCTATGTGAACTGTGCAAAATTTATCAGGTTCAGAGAGACTGCGGTGTGGCACTTACAGTCACACCCTCATACACACACCCATGCTGGGACAATTGTTACAGGCTTATTTTTCCTGACTAGCAGCCTCACCCATGATCTTCCTGTTCCTGGACTTGTGATAACAGTCAATGACTTGTGTTATTTTTGTGTAAATTATTGGAAAACAATTTAGGAACTGCCTCTTTTTCCCCTAAAAGCCCACCTGTAACTGCTGCTAATCTGAGTGTATATTCAGGGCAACTTGAGTCTGTGCTTTCTGGTGGCCATTCTCAAACTTTGAGCTTGAATAAACTCCATACTGAATCAAATTACTGAATCGTGTTTTCTGAATCTCGTTATTTAAGGTAGGCATACCGGTCAAGGACAGTCACTACCATGACTTCCGGCACTTTGGCGAAACCTCAGATGCGTGGCCTCCTGGCCAGGCGTCTACGGATTCATATTGTTGGGGCATTCATAGTATCCCTGGGAGTTGCAACCTTGTATAAGGTACGTATATTTGTTTTTTACTTTGTGCTTAAAAACATAAACTATGTTTTAGTTTAAAAATGTATTTTACTTCTATAACTAGTTAAGAGTCTTTTAAACAAATGCTCCCTTTAATGTGTTTACTGTGCCAACGCTTGTACTCACCTCAGTGTGACAGGAACTACTTCACAGTCCCCAAATAGCTTGTCCTTCATCGTTAAATGAAGCTGTGTTAGTTTGCTAGGGCTACGATAACCGAACCACAGAGTGGGTGGCTTAGTTTACAGAAATGTTCTCGCAGTTCTGTTAGTAGTGTTGTCTTCGGAGGCTTCTGTCCTTGGCCTTCGGTCTTCACATGGCTCATATTTGTGGCTGAATGTCTTGTTATAAGGACGTCAGTCCTACTGGATTAGGATCTATGCTAAACGCCTCATTTTAACTTAGTTACCTCTTTAAAAACAGTTACGTTATGAGGTACTGGGAGTTAGGATTCAACAGATGAATTTTGGGAGAACACAGTTCAGCCTCTAACAGAAGCTAAGTATGGAGAGGGATGGGGAAGGCAGTACAGTCACCTCTCTGTCTGAGGTGGTTTAGTTCCAGGACTCCTGAAGTTCAAGTTTCTGATATAAAATGGTATAGTATTTGCATTTGTATTTTTATTTATTTTTTATTCTTTTTCTAAATGTTTTCAATCTGAGGTTGGCTGAATCTGATGCTGCAGAACCCGGCAATGTGGAGGATCAGCTATAGTTCCATTTGGCACTTAGAAAAATTGTCACAGAACTGCATTTTAATACTACCTTCTGTGTATTTTAGTGTTATGCTCTTCATTTTTAAGTGAAGGCTGCATGTCATATTTATAACTTTTTTCCACGAAAATGTTTGATAATGTTTATCACTATGTTGACATAATAGCCCATGAGAGAATTCAGAGCTTTACTTTTGTAACTCTGAACTTTTAATTTTTTGTTTAATGCCTGTATTCTTCACTAGGCTGAGCCCTCATTAAGGCAGTTGCCATGTTTTCTGTTTACTGTGACATCCCATTGTTGGGTGCCAGACACACAAATAAGTGCTTAAAAGTATCTGTAGAATAAGACGGAGTGTCTAAATTTCAATATAGTGTTAGGTAATATATAATCCTAGGTGCTTTGGAGGAAACAATAGGTGTATGACTAAATCTCTGTCCGTAAAAACTTAGTAAAGTTGGGGAGGTGAAAAACATTAGAAGATATTGCAAGATAGAACATAAATGAAAGAATGTTTTTTTGTGGGGTTATGGATCATAGCATTTTTGAAAGGAGGTAATGTTTGAGCCTTCAACGTTAGAACAAAGAGGAGAGGCAACAGTAAACAAAAGTACTAAGTGGGCCTGTGCTTTGGGAACCTTTGAAGAGACAAGCACAAAAAAGTAAATCCTTTGCTTGGTCCTTTAGATTCCTGCTTCCTGGCACGTGGTGGGCACAGTATAAATGTGGAAGGGATGGAGGGATGAGTAAATGAAGTGGGAGTAAGGACAGCAATATGATGAACTCATTTCTTGACTCTGTCATCATTGTCACTATCAAAGTTCAAGCTTTTGTAACATACATATTCTTGTTACTTCTAACTGGTAACTCCCAGAATAGATCTATATATGTTATTGGGCTCCTTAGGGTGTAGTGTACTGTGGGCTTTAAACTTTTTACTTACAGTAAAAAATACATTTCGCATTGTGATTCTTATATGGATGTGTGTAGAGAGTTTGTAATGTATGTACATACAACTGAAACAATTTGAGGCGATGAAATTGTGTGTGGTATACTCTTAATATAATTTTCTATTTTTTTATGTTCTCACTGTAATCATCTAAATTGGTTTCATGATCTACTAATGGATTGTGTGTGATTTGAAAAACACTCATTACAGGCTAATGCTAAACTTACTCTTGATTCTGAGACCTTTCTGATTTACCCTCCCTACCTTTCCATTGTCATCATCACTCCTCTCTTCCCCCTTCCCCTCCCCCCGTTTTCCGTTTGTGTCTTCAGGAGTTTTGAAATGCATCACTCCTAATGCACCCAACTCTACAGCCCCTCATAACTATTTGCTGTTACCCAATTCTGCTTTCTTCCAGGTTATGTACATGCCAGGAATATCTCATCTCATTGTCTGGCAAATTCTTGTTTGTTTTTCAAGGCCCACTCAAATGTTTTTTCTGTGGAGCAGTGCATAGCCTATTCCCTCAATGGCTTGGTTGTGGTTGCCTGAATTCTTGGGCACTTTGTACCCGACTGTTGTATAGCATTGGGCACATTGTATTTTAAGTAATATTTTTATTAGTGTTTGATTGGAAAGAAGGTTTCCAAAGCATTGAGGAACTCATATTCTTATTAAAGAATAAGGCAGCAGTCAACTTTGGTCTTATCTTCTTCATTTCCCCTACCCACTTAGTGTTAAGTGCTTTTGAAGATTTGGCTTTTCCTTTTTAAAAAATTCCTGGTTTGGGCTTATTTTCATAATTTCAATCCAGTTCTGTGTTCCTTACCTGAAGGAGCAATCCAGTAAATCATTTTTGGTTAAGTTAGTCTGCTGTAAGCCTAAATTCATGAATATGGGTTAGGTTTTAAGAGGCAAATGAATAGTGCTTACACCAAATTTGGAATTTTTCCTTGGGTTCTCCAGTTACTATCATATGAAATGGGCCTGTTCTAAATCTTCAAGTGTAGATTATTTTATGGCTTTCAAGTTACTGATGATCTGGAGGACTTGAGTAGGTAGTTTATAAATTTCTAATTTTCTTGGGGAAGTCCAGATTTTTCAGACTTTTAAAAACTCCTGTTTAAAGTGTAATAGACAAAATAATTTAGATGAGTTTATAAAATCACTTTGCTTTTATTTTTGGGGTTCAGTAAACTGAGCCTATTAACTATAAAATAAAAGATGTTTTTCTTTTTTTGTTCTAACAAAATGCATACAGTTGCTTTGTGTGGTACATTAGGGTTCTCCTGACTAATAGATACATATGAGAGAGAGAGAGATGGGAATTTGCTTCATGCATTTATGGAAGCCCAGAAGTTCTACCATCTGCTGTATGTAGGCTGAAAAACCAAGAAAACTGGTGATGTAACTCTCAGTACCAAGACAAAGGCAGGAAGTAGGTGGGGGGCAGATGGCACCACTGGTGTAATTCTGAGTTAGAAGGCTCAAAAACCAGGAGTTTGTCCATGTCCGAGGACAAAAGAAGATGGATATCCCAGCTCAAGAAGATAGAATTTGCCCTTCTGCCTTTAGAAACACTCTCAGACACCTTCAGACACACCCAGAAATAATATTTACCAACTATCTGGGCATCCTTTAGTCCAGTCAGGTTGACACATAAAAGTAACCACCACATGTAGTGATGGGTCCCAGCAGACCTCAGTTCAGAGGGTAGCACTTGGGCTTCTGCTTCTTGGTCTATTACTGGAAGAAATTGGAACTTGGGAGTAGAAAGTGAAGTAGTAAAACTAGCCAGATGGAGGGCTCTTACTGTGTGACCCCATCAAGTGGCACAAATCCATGTAGCACCTTCACTGATGTGGATTGGCACTTGAATTTTTACTGGTTTTTATATGCAGGATGAGATTTTAATTTGGATTATAACCCACACATTGAAATGCACCAAGCATTGTTTTTTGGAGAGTAAAACCTTTGCGATATGACAGACATGGGTTCGAATCCTGCTTGAGCCACCTGCCAGCTAGTGCCTCTTCCTAGGTCTTGATCAAGTCACTTAAACTATGTTCTCTTGAATCTTTCTTTGTTCTTTCTTCATTGACCACCTCCCCTTTTGTGTGCAGAAAACTGAAAAAAATGAACACTCCTCCTGAATTTGTTTCTTTGCTCCAAATTTAGCAATTTCAAGAATTTATTTCTCTCAAGATGATCAGTAGCCATCATCTTAGGTCCATTCCCTCATTTGTAAAATGGGTCAGTGTCTATCTTAGGGCTTATATTAAATATGTTGAAGTGTAAATCACTCTGAACTGTTCTTGCCAGATGTTTTCCTGTGCCTTTCAGAGGCGGATGGTTACCAAATTAGTTTCAAAATTTCATATTATGTCTTAAGTTGAATATTTTAGTGTGTCTCAGCTGTGGGGATATTTAGACTTTGTTGGAGAGAAGGTTGCTATCTTCTCCCTAACACCTTTCAGCTTTTTGGGTATCATCTTCTGGCTTCTGCCAGTTTGCATCCACGTACCACCAAAAACACGCACGCATACACAGCCCATCAAGTAAAAGGTATAATTTGTCCCTAGGCAAGGAGGGTCCCCCCTTGTTACATAGTTTCTATGAGGCTACTTTCTCTTCCTTGCATCTGGCTTATCTCTTTCACCCCTTGTCTTAGGAAATGTAGGTTTAAAGTGCGAACAAAAACATTCTGATTTACCTTGTGTTTAGATAATAAATTTCTAATAATCTGAAAAATAAACCCTAATGGGCTGTTACTTTTTTAGTTTGGTGTGGCTGAACCAAGGAAGAAGGCATATGCAGATTTCTACAGAAATTATGATTCTATGAAAGATTTTGAGGAGATGAGGAAGGCTGGCATCTTTCAGAGTGCAAAGTGATTTTGGAACATAAAAGGTAATAATAGTTATTTGAAGTTATTCTTAAAAATTTTTAATTGTGGTAAAATGCAAATATGGACGGTCCCTGACTTAATGATGTTTGTGCTTAGGATATTTTGACTTTACTGTGGTGCAAAAGTGATACACATTCAGTAGAAACCATATTTGTATTTTGAATTTTGATCTTTCCCCAGAGTATGTGGCTTGATACTCTCATGATGTTAGGCAGCCGAAGCTCCCAATCAGCCATGCAATCTCAAGGGTAAACAACTGATACTGTACTCTACAGTGTTTTATATTCCATAAATTGCATGAGATATTCAATGCTTTATTACAGGTGCTATGCTAGGTGATTTTACCCAACTAATGTAAGTGTTCTGAACACATTTATAGCTAGGCTAAGCTATAATGTTCAGTAGGTTAGGTATATTAAATGCATTTTTAACTTACGATGGCTTTATTGGGGTGAAACCCCATTGTAAGTCAAGGAACATCTGTGACGTAAAATTCATTATCTTAACGTTTTTTGTTGTTGTTTGTTTTGTTTTTTTTTAAGAGACAAGATCTTCCTGTGTCGCCCAGGCTGGAGTGCAGCAGCACAATTAGTAGCTCACTGTAACCTTGAATTCCTGGGCTTGAGGAATCCTCTAACCTCAGCCTCCTTAGTACCCGAGACTCTAGGCATGCGCCACCACACCTGGCTAATTTTTTATTTCTTGTAGAGACTGGATCTTGCTCTTGCAAAGGCTGGTCTTAAACTCCTAATCTCAAGCAATCCTCCCACCTCCTAGAGGACTAGGATTACATGTGTGAACCACCATGCATGGCTTCAATTCTTTTGGGTATATACCCAAGTATATTGCTGGGTTTATGTGATAGTTGTATTTTTAATTTTTTAAGAAACTGCCATGCCATTTTCTGTGGCGCTGCTCCATTTTACACTCTCACCAACAGAGCTCAAAGTTTCTCCATATCCTGACCAACATTTGTTACTTAAGTTTTTTTTTCTTTAAAGTAGCCATCCTAATAGGTTTTGATTTGAATTTCCCTAATGATTTGTGATGCTGAGCATCTTTTTTTTGAGGTGCTTATTGGCCATTTGTATATCTTCTTTGGTGAAATGTTTATTAAAGCCTGCCCATTTTTGAATTGGGTAGTTTTTTTTTTTTTTTGGTTCAGTTGTAGTTCTTTATATATTCTGGATATTAACCTCTTATCAGATATGATTTGCAAATATTTTTCCCATTCCACAGGTTGCGATTTCATCACTCTTGTGTTTTTTGATGTGCAAAAATTTTAAATTTGGATGTCGTTTATTTTTACATTGATTGTATGTGCTTTTGGTGTCATATCCAAGAAGTCATTGCCAAATCCAATGTAATGAACCTTATGTGTTCTAGGACTTTTATGGGTTTAGCTCTTATATTGATCTTTGATCCATTTTAATTTTTGTATGTGGTGTAATGTAAAGACCTAACTTCACTTATTCTTTTGCATGTGGATATCCAGTTTTCCCCAAACCAATTGTTAAGATTGTCTTCTCCCCATTGAATGGCTTTGGCACTGTCGGTGAAATGATAACGACTGCACATGCAAGTGTCTCTAGGGTTTCTATTCTATTCCATTGGTCTACTTAGTACTATACCGTTTGGATTACATTAGTCTCTCTGTCTGCAGGGGATATGTTAGAAGACCTCCAGTGGATGCCTGAAATGGTGGATAGTACTAAACCATACACACACACAGTTTTTTCCTATACATAAATACTTATGATAAAGTTTAGTTTACAAATTAGGCACAATAAGAGATTAACAACAGTAACTAATAACTAAATAGAACAATTATAACAATATATGGTAGTAAAAACTAGGTAAATGTGGTCTCTCTCTGAAAATATCTTGCTGTACCATATTCATTCATTTTTGGACCGCAGCTGTAACAGCAGATAAGGGTAGACTACTTTGCTGTAGTTTTGTGGTAAGCTTGAAAATTGGGAAATGTGAGTCAGACGTTATTTTATTTTTTTAAGATCGTTTTGGCTATTTGGGATTCCTTGAGAGTCTGTATGAGTTTTAAAAATAATTTGTTTTTTTTTTTTTTTTTGAGACAGTCTCACTCTGTTGCCCGGGCCAGAGTGCCATGGCGTCAGCCTGGCTGACAGCAACCTCAAACTCCTGGGCTCAAGCAATCCTTCTGCCTCAGCCTCCTGAGTAGCTGGGACTACAGGCATGTGCCACCATGCCTGGCAAATTATTTCTATATATTTTTAGTCAATAGTGTTGTCAGAGTCCTCTGTTTTCCTTATTGATCCTTGTGTCTGGTGGTTCTATCCATTGTTGAAAGTGGAGTATTGAAGTCCCTTACTATTAATTCTGTTAGTGCTTGCTTGATATACTAAGGGGTCTGATGTTTGGTACATATGTATTCATAGCTGTTAGATCTTACTGGCGAATTGACCCTTTTATCATTAAAGTGAGTCTCTTCTAGACAGCACATAGTTAGATACAGGTTTTTAAAAAAATCCATATTGTTTTCCATCCCTTCACCTTGAGTCTGAATGCATCCTTGTGGTTTAGATGTGTTTGCTGAAGACAGCAGATACTTGGCTTGTGTATATTTATCCATTCAGCCAGCCTGTGTCTCTTTAGTAGGCAGTTTAAGCCATTCACATTTATTGAGAGAATTGATAAGTGGGGAAGATTTCTGTTCATCCTGTTGAGTTGAACTTTGTTGCTTTGTTTTCTTTCTTGAGCTGTTGCGGTATCTGGCCTTTGACCTTTAGCCTTGGATGATTTTACATTGGTGATTGTTTATTGTGCTGATCCATGTGTATGTAACATGTAACAGTTTTGAGTACTTCCTGGAGGGCAGGTCTTGTCTTGATGAATTCCCTCAGTCTTTGCTTGTCTGAGGAGGTCTTTATTTCTCCTTCATATATGAAACCTAGTTTTGCAGAGTACAAGATTCTAATAGGCTAGGCATTATGTTTGAGAAGAGTGAGAAGGGTCCCAAGTCTCTTCTTGCTTTAAGGTCTCAGTTTAGAAGTCTGCCGTTATTCTGATGGGTTTTACTTTGTAGGTTACCTGCTTCTTTCGCCTTTCAGCTGGTAGGAGGGCTTCTTTGGTGGTTATTGCTGAGGCTGGAATGCAGTGGCTTCATAGCTCATTGCAACCTCGTACTCTTGGGCTCAAGCGATCCTCCTCCTCCCTCAGCCTCTTGAGTAGCTGGGACTATAGGCATGAACCATCATGCCCAGCTAGTTTTTCTATTTTGTATAGGGGGGTATCTCTTGCTTGGGTTGGTCTTGAGCTCCTGGCCTCAAGTGATCCTTCTGCCTCACCCTCCTAAAATGCTAGGATTACAGGCATGAGCCACTGTGCTTGGGCAACTTCATTTTTTTTTTTCCACCCATCAGACATGTTAATTTCAAATGACATGTCTTCAAACTTACTCTTTTTTCTGCCTGAGTCTGATGTTGAACTACTAGTGATTTTTTTTTTTTTAATCAATTCAGCTCCAGAATATGTCTGGTTTTTAAAATTTTTTCTTTGTTGATATTCTTTTTTGTTTATATATTATTTTCCTGATTTTATTTAGTTGTCCATGTTCTCCTTTAGCTTGTTGCACATATTTCAGACAATAGTTTTAAAGTTTTTATCAAGTCAGTCAGAGGCCTGGTTCTTTAAGGTTGGTTTGTAGAGATTTATTTTGTTCCTTCAAATGGGCCATGTTTCCCTGTTTTGTGATCTTTTTTTTGAATTTGTGCATTTTTAAGAAACAGCCACCTTTCTGTCTTTGCAAACTGGCTCCTTGCGAGGAAAGATATTCATTCACTAATCAGCCCAGCATAAAGGCTCACATTTTTTCTAGGGATGCATCTTCCCTGAGTCTGTGCATGTGCTTTTCAGGTTTCTCCACATAGAGCTGCTGTAAGTTTTTCTCAATATTCCTAAGACTTTCACCCTTGCTCCCTCTTGGATCCTTAGCTGTTCTGTTGTATTCCTTTGATCTCTTGCCCCACAGGTTCCTGCAGGTCTCAGTTCCCCCTGCAGCTCTCTCATTGCATGGCACCCACCATTGCTTTCAGCTGTTTCTGTTCTGATACGCAAACTGACATCATTCCTATGAGCACTCTGAGTCAGGCAATACAGAAGCTAGTCCCCTGGGTGGCCGGTCCAAACAAGCCAGAGCAAGTTCCATTCTTCGTCTTCTGTCCTGAGGAGCAGTTTTCTCCTCATTACACTGCACTGTACTCAGGATGGCATGGAGCAAGGGTAAGCAAAAATGCCACAAAATTTCCTGCTGTTTTGAGTGTGGCATGTTAGGTTGTTGCAGCTGCTTAACTGGTTTCTAGAATTTTCACAAAGGTACTTTGTTCCATGCCTATTCCTAGTTTCTGTGGGGGATTAGGGGGTCTGGAACTTTGTAGTCCACCATCTCTTTGACATTAAGTTCATTTTATATTCAAAATCATTTCTTATGCTGTTATTGCTAGGTTGGCATTGTGAAAAATCTTACTTTTAGTAATGGCTTTTAAAAAGGTTTGATGCCATTTATAGTTAGGTGGGTGTCCACAAGTGATTGGCTGGCTTTCCATAGATTTTGGTTTGGCCTGTCATATCCACAATGTCCTTATGCCTCATGGACAATGTGAATTACGGTTTTATGTATAGAAAAGGAGTTTATAGATTGTGTATCCATTACTGTGTCAATGAAAGGTCATCACCTAAATTGATCTGACAGCATGTATCAAGTTCTTGATAAGACATCATACTCTGTATTTTTTATTCAAGCTCAACAAAACAAGAATAATTTAAATAAAGTTTGGATTTACATTCTATAAATGAGTTTGCTGTGACACAGAATGTGAGTCTGATATTTTGTCAGGCAGACTGATCCTGATTAAGATTTCATTTTAACTAAAAAAATATGTATGTATTAATATCTTTCCCACGATCTGGCATGGGGGAAAACCTGTTGCACAGGACTTAGTTTTCTAAAAGACTCAAGGATAATGTAGACTGTAAGTGACTTGCCTAATATAAGATGCGATTTTATAACATTGTTGCTAGTTTATCTTAAGGAAATATTTGAAATGCTGAGATGCATGCACTAAGTGTCCATAGTATTATTTATAATAGAAAAATAGAACTTTATTTTCAGTGATTAGAAAATAGATAAGGAAATTTATTGACAAAGTGACATGAAGAAATTATGTAATAGAAATTTAGGCCAGGTACAGTGGTTCCACTGCTGTAATCCCAGCACTTAGAGAGGCTGAGCCTGGAGGATTGCTTGAGGCCAGTCTGGGCAACATAGACTCCTCCGCCCCCTTACACAGAATTAAAAAAAATAATAATTATGCAGATGCTCCTCAAATTCCATCATAACTCCATCATATCTTGATCATTAGTCAAATGCAATACCCTGATAAGCCCATTATAAAGTTGAAAAATAATAAGTCATACCCTCATAAGTTGGGGACCGTCTGTATTAAGGGGAAAAGACTTAAAGGAGAAAAGATTAAGAAGATATTAATGCCTGTGTTTATAATCTTAACATCACTGTTTTAACTTTGAAATTTTTAAATTTTCCATAATCATGTATTTCATAATCAGGAGTTAACAGGCTAATTTCTATATAAATTTTATTTTTAATTAAGTTGTATTTACAAAACCTGTAAGAAAGGAAAAACACATTTGGAGATAGGAATAGAAATATTGTTTGGAACAGATGAGCTTTTGTTAAGAACAGTATGTGGCTGTGAGAGAGAATGGAATTTGCAAAATAAAAAGCAAGAAATGAGGGTAAGGTGTGATATGCCCAAATGGAAAAGCAGCTAGCCAGGGAGCTTAGACCTGGAGCTCAGGCACCCTGAACTATGTGTGCTTTTCCTGGGGCTAAGTGTGAATGATCAGAATGTGGCATCCCCTATTAGGAATACATCTCATTGATATCAGGGATAGTGAATATTAAGAATGTCATTAACTTTTGTGTTTCTTTCCACAGAATTTCTTGACCTGTGTTCCTGAGCTATGAATATGTGGGCTGATGAATAGTTTCTCTTGATAAATAAACCATTAATAAATACTGTGAATAGTCTTTGGTCTGTTATTCTTAATAATTCAAGGAACTTAAAAGCATCAGAATTGGTTGGGGGGTTTTAACTGTATGGCGATAACTTGATTTCTGTGTTTCTTTAAAATGTCACTGTTTCAGTATGTCTATATTTTGATATTGTGTCTATTTCATCGAGATGCTCATAGGTGCAGTTGCTTGGACCTAGACCATGGATTGAAGGAGTCTCCATGAGCCTGTATCTTACCCCTTTTAAGTCGTACAAAATTCTTGCGTCCCAGTGATGTGAGCTGTATTTAAACCCAGGTCTCATTGAAAAACTGCATAGTAAACAAACCCTGGTAACCATAGACATCTGTATGTGGCCAGCAATTCAAGGATACCTTTTATTTTAAATAATTTTATATAACAGTTCTTAGAAGCAGTTTATAAAATTATCATAAAAGATACAAGAATTAAACATATTTACATTCTTAAAAATAGTTACTCTTGAGGTTGACAAAATTCACTTTCCTAAATGAATTAGTAACACAAACTAATGGAGGAGCCATTTTTCATACTGAGCTTGAACTGTCCATTGTCTTGCTTTCTAGTAACAGTTACATAGTGACTTCTCATACCCAAGAATATTCGAGTTAAGTCAAACATCAGTGACTGATTGCAATGAAATTGCATTCTCTTAGCATCTCCCAATTTTAGGTAACCAGCTGTAGGCCCTCAAATTTGGATGTAATCAAACATATGCTTTAATTTGACTATGAGATATTTACTAAATATTTTAAGATATCTGGTGGCTGATCTTGATTCAGACCCATTCTGAGATGGTAAATATCACTCACTGGGAAAATATATCTTCATGTTTTGTCAAGTCAATTCAGAATAAGCTATCTGGACTGTTGTCATTGTTAGCGTCAGTGTTGGGGGACATCTCTCTTGACTCTCCTGCAGGACATCTGGGGGTTCCCAGTATGTTTTATGGTACTAAGGAAACTCACCTGAGCACTTTGGGACTGTTCTTCATTGGTAGAAGACTGACTGTAAGCTTGCCTAGTAAAACAAACTGGAAAAAGACTTTTCTGAAATGCATCTGGACAGTAATCAATCAGATTGTTTTGTAAATTTCAGTGAAATGCAGACTTCAGAGGGAATATACATAGCAGCTTTCAGGGAAAGAACAGCATTGCAGTTAAGTAACAAATTAAACCACAAACTCTAAGCATTTCAACAATCAAAACCTTTGTAGACAAGGGATGAGGCAGAGGTGGTGTCTCGGCCCCCAAACAGATGCAACTAGGTATGAATTTAACTCTGGCTCTCCATTCTAAAGCCTTGACACATTTTGTATTGTAGCAGAGAGTTAATTCAAATTATAGTGGAAATTTTTGCAAATGTCACAGCAAAGAGGAATGCATCTTCTATGTGTGGTAAGAATATAATATACAGGATTCTGTTAATCATTGTCTTCAATGGGAAAGGAACAAATATTTTTGTCACTGCACTCTAAAGTATCTTTGTTTTAGGGAGATGGTAAGAATCTGAATTTTAGAAATGGCTAGAAATACTATAGGAAAGTGTTGGCCTTGTGTCTATGTTGGATGTTTAAGCTAATTAGGTTTCTCTTTTTCAAAAATAAATTACAGCCTGGTATGGTGGTGTGTACCTGTAGTCTCTGAAGGCTAAGCTGGGAGGATTGCTTGAGGCCAGGAAGGAGTTCAAGGCCAGCCTGGGCAACCTGTTTCCAAAAAACAAATTGCATAAGCAAGTATTGACACCTCAGGAGATTCACGGGAACCCTTTCCTGAGGGCTTTATTTTTCACCATGGCAAATTTACTAATGAAGACCTGAGCAAAATGTGGATCAGCCAAATAATGGTATGTTTTAACAGTGGAGGGGGGAGGTTCCACAGCCATCACAGGCCATGGTGTTTGTACGGAAGAGCAGTTGGGTGCCAGGTGACAAGAAGTCTTTGTGATGTAGTCCACAAGTCTGTTATACTGTTGCTCTGACAATCTCTCTCGGACTCCATCCACCTGGGATCAAAAATAAAGATTCATTAGTTGCCAGATCCTTATAATGAGATTTCCATAACAAATTTCTTGTATTTTGACTTAATGTGTTTGTACATCATGCCATTTAGGCCAACTAATAAAGCTATTTAATCCAAAACTATGCTTTTATTTTTCATCTGAGCTGTGGTAATAACACTGCGATTTTAGCGGTATAACCATCTATATACATAAGAATATTAAGACAACCTCCTTCTAGTGTTGCATAAAATTCTCATGTTTGAAGCTGATGATTTGATAACATTTTACCTATTAACTATTAAAACATTTGTCATTATGAGCTTTTTACCAACCAGCCAAGGAGAAAAATGTTTTTCCTCTGTGTAAATCTAATCAACATTAAACTCTATACCCTGAAATAAGAGCTCTGTTAACCTGGCTCCCAAACCCCTTCAGACAGAACTTCAGTTTGACAGAAAAGTGGAGAACACCTCTTTTAAACCAGTGGCTTTGGACAAAGCATTAAAAAAATAAATACCTTTTGAACTGTAACATTTTCTGTTTTTACAAATACTAAGATTTAAAGCCAGAGAAAATAGAAAAACTGGGCAGAGGAAGGGGAAATTTTTATGGAAAAAAGGGAGGATGCAAAGTACATTTATGGTCCATAAAAGTCTGGCTCATCTTCAGTGGAACTCAAATAGGAGAACTGAGATATACTACCTAAGTTCTTAAGTGAGATTTTCTGAGAAAGCGCCCATCAAAGGCAGCTGGAACTATAAATTCCTCCCACCCTGAAGTCCTGTAGCTGTCTAGTGTGTAGAGCAAGGAAAGGGGGGAACGCTGCAGCTGTAGGCCAGTGATCTGTGAGAATCAGGTAGCCGCTGACCTCTCAGTGGTTTTTACCTACCAAATGTTGGCAAGACCACTCTGGAAGAATTACAGACATTTTTAGTGGGCTTTTTAGTTTCAAAATAGGGGTAAAGAATTTGTATTTCTGTGTAGAGTTCAGAAGAAAGCCAGGTTGATGGTAAAACATAAAGGGGCTTGCCAGAGGAATACATAGGGCATCCCATACTTTGCGTCTCATGTTTTTAAAAACATTGGGGGAAAAGGCCCCCAAAGATTCACTAACAGATGAAAGCTCTGCACCACCAGGCAAAAGCCAGAACTGTGATGATATCATTGATGGGGCCAGGATTCAGCTGGAAAGCTTTGGATACACAGAGTCTTAATTGCTCCTCCTGAACAGCAGCACAGGAAAACCTGTGTTGTGAAAGGAACCCGGCCAAGGAATAAATTGACCTTCTGACTCATTTTGAGCCTCTCATAAGGGATTTCAATAATGTGCCAGGCATATTAAGTAATTATTATCCCTAAAAATGGCTGCATTTAACCAAGAAAAGCAAATGCTGATTTTTAAAAATCTGACTCCTGCCATATTTGAATGTACTGAATGATGTCATCTACAAATTAATTCCTTCCAAAATTCAAAGGAGCTGTGTTTCCTAGCATCTATGGCAAAAGTCAAAAAAACCAGAAAAGCCATTTTATACAAAGATCCTAAAATGCTGCTCTTGGTCTTCACTGCAAGTGTTCACAGCAGGCAGGTGTCCCTGCGTCTGAGTTATGTTGGATGCGCTGACATGAGCAGGGCTGCAGAGGAAAGTTCACTGCGTCAAGCAGCGTTCCTGTTTTGAAAGTACACTGGATTGCAGCACTGAGTGAAGCAAAAATGCTCTGCAGCTAGGGTTTTTTTTCGGGGTCACTGGGGTAGGTTAGGGTTATGGACACAGACTTACAGGGGTATTCTTATTTCTTAATGATTTGAGGGGAAAGGTAAAGTGAAATAGACACCGAGAAAGCAGAATATGGAGGTGGAAGGCACTGACCTCCCGCCATCTGTCCAGCACCAGGTGCTGCTGCGGGTACAATGCTGCTCTCTTCCTACTTCTGTGTCAGCCATCCTTAATCCCCAGCCTGCTCTTATCCCTGGACACCAATGGAAAGCCATTGTTGAGAATGGTGTCCAGAGCGTCAGTACTTCTGCCTGTAACTGATTCCATAGTCCCAAATAGCCTTGACAACTTCTATCTGGGGCCACCACCCCTATCATCTCAGTAACCTCCAGAGAAACAGATCTGTTCCCCTGTAGCTACAACAGTGCCCCGCAGTACTAGCCTCAAACAAAAGCAGAAGGATCACAACTGAAGACAGTAGAGACAGTTTAACAGTAAAAGACGACTCTCCTGTCTCAACAGTTTAAGCTCTGAAATATTTCCCAAGCAGCTAAGGAATAACGATGGTCACAAATACTCCTTAGGGCCTTGGAGGTTTCTTGTTAAGGACTAAGGACTTGAAGATAATGATATTATCCTCTGCCAAACTCTGTAGCCAGATCACTGCTGCTTTATTGTCAACTGATCAGAAGATTTTGGCAGATCTAATAAAGTCAGGCTGGACATCTGACCTCTGTTTATTCCCAGAAAGTCATCAACTTGAAGCAGCAGTGTAGTCCTGGTGCCAAGCCCCAGCTTAAAGCCTGACTGATTATGATCCAAGAAACTAGAGAAAGCTTAGAGCTGTTGTGGTTGGCTTCTTTCCATCTCCTCAGACAATTTTACCAAAACAATGGTGTGAGTGAGACACAGGCTCCCACACCAGGAAGAGAAATGAAATAAGGAGTTGGGTCCTACTGGAGGGAGGTTTGCTGTCCTTTCCTGGAGCCTCCTAGCTCCCAGGTTAGGACCAGCAGGCTCCTGTTTGCCACTGACCACCCCCCCTCTTGCTGTGTGGAAAAAGATGCCTATTTCTTAGGTAAACAAATAGGGTTCCATGGATCAGGAACCTTCCTGGGAAGGAGGGGCAGAGAGCAGTTTTCCAGTGGGTGCACCTGCTTACCCTGGGCTGGACGCCGGAAGCTGGGGTCATTCTGGTCAGAGCTCACCTCTGACCCCAGATCCCCTGATACCTGCCTGAGTCTCCATCTACATCAACTTATGTGTGCCAGCAGCCAG